GGCTATCTCAGAACCCTGAGCAGGACTGACGGCGGGCTATCTCAGCACCCTGAGCAGGACGACACAGAAATCATTCTCACATGCAGTCGGTTATACCAACAACCTCAAGTTTCCAAAGACGTGACTAAGGGGAGCTGCAGGGAACAAGATGAGGTCACTCAGGCTTTTATATTTTACATTTAACCTCCTCAGGCTTTTATATTTTACATTTAACCTCCTCACGTAGCTCATGGACAAATCCCATTACCTTTTAATTCCATCTTTACACCAACTGTTTGAAACCCCTCATACTTTAAGTGAAGACTGCCTTTAGGGTGAACATCTAATAAATACGACTTTAACAACTGAGCTACAGATGCAATTTGGACAAATCAGATGCAAACTATCTGGATTACGAAACATTAGTTAAATAGATTAAACCCATCAATCCACTGCCATCAATTTGATTCTGACGTGCCATGGCCCTGTAGGACACCCACCCCAAAGGGTCAGCGAGGTTGTCAATCTTTACAGGACTAGACTGCCGAGCACCTCACCCACTGTGCCAACAGAGCTCACTGGGTCTGGAAGACTCAGGGCGCCGTCCCTCCAGCTAAGGGAGTCCTCGGCTCACCACCCTCATGACTCCTCTGCCCGCATCATCTTCAATGGTCTCCTGTCTGTGCACATCAGTTCTTCCCTCTAAACCCTGGTTCTCTTCTCAGCTCCCAAGTTGTGCTCATGGGCACCACCTCCTGGTCACATCGACTGAGTGCAGCGCCCACTATGCTAGAAATCATGTTAAAAGTTAGGAGGAGCAGAAAACTAAGGTCAAAATCTCACCAAAGGGCACAAGGAGAACACAAGAATAAGGCCTTCAGGTCACTGTCAAGCTTGTCAAAGCAGACCATTCACACGCTCGCCTCGCAGGACCTTCCTCGGGAGCCACAGCGGCTGCTATTTTGACAAAGCTGCACTGAAACTCTACGCAAATGGGTTTCACAACTCTCAGCATAAACCTATCACTTCATTAAAATTAGAAACGGCACCAACAACACAAAACCGTACTCGTTTGCTCCTTGAGCATATGGAGTGATTTCTAAGTAGTATGTCTGTCAACATTTTTAAACTCCCTCTGACCACTAACAGGAACTTTGTACTATCCTAAGAGGAAAACATTGTTTTCTAGGCTTCATTAGGTGAGTTCTACATAAAACAAGAGTGCAAGAGAACAAAAGATACAGGAGAGGGCAATGATTTTAAACTGTGTTAAAAAATTCATGCAAAGAAGCGAAATCAGATCCCAATGAAACTCCAAGTTAATGTTTTAAAAATGAGAATCCTCATATGGTTGTATTTTATCTGTTCTCATAAAGAAATAAAACACAAAGTCTGGGGTTTCCCAGGAATAGAAAGTCATGTTGACTCTGCACTGTGGTGTACGCAGTGTGCAAAGCACGATGGGAAAGTCTGAGCTACTGTGAGGATGACCAGCAGCGGACACAGAGACAGGGAGTGAGTGTACACTGTGGGAACTGTTGTGAGGATGACCTAGGAGGACACAGAGACAGGAGGTGGGGACACTTTGCTAGGAAGATGGCACTGGTAGACGTGCTCATGTGCTAGATGCAGGCCCATCACAAATCTTCACGTAGTCAGAAACACACGGTCTGCACAGCCCAATGGTAAAATGTAGAAAGTAAGGTGTGCCAAGGCTGGTGTGGTTTCTACACAGGGTGTGTCTTACGAAGGTCCCTATGGTCACATCAGCAGCAGACATCAAGGTCACCGTCGGGAGGCAGGTCATGGGGACTCAGCTTCACTGCAAAGCTGACTGAGAAGCTCACAACTTGGCTCACCTGGCTTCCCTTCCCAGCACCAACCTTGGCAGAAGCATGGCCCAGCCTCCAGTCATGTGATGAGAGTGGGGGAGGTGTGCTCAGTCAGTCATGACTGCCTCTCCATACTGTGTCATGTGGTCTAGAGTGAGGAGGTGGGATCTTGCTTGGTTTCACCACAGCACAAACCAAAGTGCCTCTCACAGATCAGAGCCCAGTTTTCCCATTGTCCTTCGACCCTGTCTAGGGGTTCCGAGTAGCCACTGTTGACCTTGAACCGCCGACCTTGCAGTTCAAATGGCTTTGCAGTCTGGTACATTAACCCACTGCCCCATAGTAGGACTCTTCCTTCAGTCACTTGGTGTTGCTGAACAGTAAGCATTTTAAGTCATTCTGATACTTTTAAAAATGACAATCTTGAGGTAAACCATAAAGTGGTTTAAGTAAGCAGTCTCAGTGGGACCCAGTAAACAACAAGGGCCGTCCACTAGAATCCGATTGATCAGTTTTCTCAAAATCTGTCCTTCAAAGCTTTTGTTTCTCTCTCAAGGGTTCCATCACCAAGTCTCTATCCTACCAGTGAGTCTGGTCCTTTTTGAGACTGTGACTTTTGTCCCACCTCTTATTGTGAACCTCTTTCAGAGCGGTTAGTAGATGGCAAGCACCACCTGGTTCCTCTGAGCTCAGGGTCATGGAGCCTGATGTTTGGGTGGTCTATCAGTCTACAAGACTAACCATTTCCACCTGCCTTTTCATCCCTCTTCTTTCTTCCCCAAAGCTTTTGGTAGTCTAGTCTTTTCTAGGGTCCTCCCAGAGCTCAGGGAGAGAAGGCCTTGCATAGCATATGAATTACAACAGAACAAAGCACAGTGAGGACTACTGAAAGGATTTCACATTGACAGGGGGAGCTGCCTCTAGGCCTCCTCCCCTCCTGTCTCAGCTCAGTCCAGAGGCGTTTCCATTCCCACCCGCTTACGCTTATCCACCATACCAGAGAGTGCAACAGGCCATCCTAGCCCTTTAGTCTAACTCAAGATTTATAACTTAACTAAGCCAAAAACCCCCTCAGTATTTAACTTCGTTTACGGCGGCCTGACAAAAACTGGTAACCACGCAGGATAATTTTAATGTCCTAAATAGAGTTTTGAGACCTGGTGTGGCACTGCGGGTTAATGCCCTAGAATGCAAGGTTTGTTTGAACCACAGGGTCGGCAGTTCAAGCTTACTAGTCGCTCCTTGGAAACCCTACACAGGGTCACTGTAAGCCGGAACCAACTCAACGACACTTAGCAAGAAGAGCCAATGAGAAAATAGAAGCTGATCCAGATGACACGTGTGTGAGTGAGACTGTTTCACTCTTGCTTTGTAGTCTACCAGAACTACACAAGAATATCCAAGTACTCTAACCTACCATGGGAGTGCATTACCATTCTCTATGCCCCCTAGGAGTTACATCTACTCAATTTCTTATGTTCTAGGATTTTCCACTTCTTCTAGAATCAATTCTGATAATTAAAGAATTCTAGAAAACATTTCATCTGAACTTTAACATGTATTAAAACAAACTCATACAGTAGTCTCAAATTTGTACCTCATTTCTTTTGAGCTTCTTCTCATTGCTGACAATGCACATTTTCTTCTTCCTTCGTTTTATTGTGCCATGCCACGTTGGATATTTTAGGATTGTTACTCAAAACAAAGTTTTAAAAAAGTACTAATCAAGTCCAGTAGAATGATACCTTTTATCTTAAATTACTTGATACTTACTAATTTCTGCCTGGGGTATAAGTGTGGCCCTGTCAGATACGGGCTGGACTTCTAACCACAAGATGGGCGGTTCATATCCACCAGCCACTCCTTGGAAATGCTACAGCAGCTCACTATGAGTCAAAACCAATTCAATGGCTTTAATAACAGCGTCTTTCTGTGACTTGAATTTCCTTAGCTTTGTTGTTGCTGTCACTACGTGTCACCAGCTGATTCTGACTCACAGTAACCCGGCACAGGGTCTCCAAGGAGTGGCTGCTGACATTGAACTACCAACCCTATGGTTCAGACAGATCTTGCAGTTTCTTAGTTTTAGTATAAAAACTCTCACTTATTATCACTTTTTTTATATTTAGCAGGAAATATTATAGAAGAGCTCTGGTAGCGTAGTGGTTATGAATCAGGCTGCGAACCACAAGGTCAGCAGTTCTAAACTACCAGCTGCTCCATGGGAGAAAGATGAGGCGTTCTGCTCCCGTAAAGATTTACAGCCTCGGAAAGCCTGTACAGGGTCGCTATGAGTCGGAACCGACTCCACGGCACATAACCACCAACCACCACAATTATAGAAGCTATGAGTCCAACTCAGGTGCACTTAACAATGATAACATTATAAAAGCTGAGGATAGCTTTGAGCGATCCAGTCTGTTTCCGTAACGATTTCACTTTAAGGATATAATTTCACTTTTGAATCTTTCTTTTCCATCTAACTACATTTTGGATATTTTCTATTAATCTATTTTCATTACATTGCAATAATGGAGTCCTGGCACTGTGGGCTAATGCGCTGCACTGCAAAGTCAGTTTGAACAAAAAAGTCTGTGGTTCAAGCTTACCAGCTACTCCTCGGAACCTGTATAGGGTCGCTATGGGTTGGAACCAACTCAGCAGCACATAACAACATCAACAACACTGTGTCTTGGATGACATCTACTTTTGGGACTTTAACGAAGTTTTTTATACTCTACCATGTGATCAATTTCTGCTTCATGCAAATAGGAAAGAATATCTATTTCAAGGTAAAGTAGTCCAGGGAAAGCTAGTCCTTTACTGATGTATTTATACGTGTACAGTTCGGCCCCTTGGCAAGTTTACTGTATTTGGTTATTGAAGCTTTCTCATTTCATTTGAGAATATAGATAGTTCTCTTTGCTTGTATTGTATTGGTTTTGGCTTATCTATTTTGAAGCTAAGCTCTTAAGTACATAAAGGCTTATGACTGGTGCTATCTTATTATTAATAAGACTATAAACCCATATCAATCTAAAATACCCTACACACAGTTTAAACTTTTTTTTTTTTCACTTTAAGTTATATTTTGTTTGATATTCATTCTTAATAGATTGGATTACCCTGCTTAGGAAAACAACAAAGAAATGGAGTAAAAAACACATAAACTCACAGAATTTAATGAAGTTTCTTAAATTGTATCCTTACTGTTGATACAGAGTCTAGGAAGCATTAATGTCTTCCTAGTTAGTTAGCAAAATGATAATTTGGCTTGATTCTACTAACACTGAGCCTAAAACGAATGTAATAGCAGGCAGGGAGCTTTTCCTTCTCCCTCCCCGTAATCTGATCTAAAGATGAGAGCACGTCACTCAGGGATTTTAAAACAAACATCACCAGGTGAGCTGTGCATTCCACAGGCCGTCTTCGGGAGCACCAGTGAGGCAGAAGTGTCTCTTCTGACTCCTGCCGACCAGACGCTCTGAGCCCCCGTCTAGCCACCATTGTGGCTTTGGTTTGAACTGTGGAGCAGACTGGCCCATGAAGCAACATAACTGTGCAATCAACTGCCAATCAAGCCTCTCACAGCCCTTACCTAAGTCAGTGATGAGAATTGGTTCCTGCAAAGCAATGTCCGGCACCAGCGGGCTGCTCTTGCCCACACGGCCCTTTGCAGGTTTGCGTTGGTGCCTCATCTTCCTGAGCTCGGTGTGCTTGAAATGTGAGGCAACATGCGTCTTCCTGTGGCCTGAGGTTCGGAACTTTTTGTCACAGTGAGGACAAGCGAATGGTCTAACGCCTGATAAGAAATCAAAGGTACATGTTAGGATCATCTGAAAGAATTGCATCTCCAACACTGACGCCAACATAAAATTACAATGCTGTGGTATGGATGTGAAGGACACCTCATTCTCATCCCGTGTCTGCCGTGTCAGGGACAGTGTGGTATGTATGCATGTGGGTGTTACACCATGACGATCCCGTGTCTGCAGTATCAGAGATGCTGTAGTATGCATGTGGGTGTTACACCATGACCATCCCATGATGCTGTAGTATGCATGTGGATGTTACACCATGACCATCCCGTGATGCTGTAGTATGCATGTGGATGTTACACCATGACCATCCTGTGATGCTGTAGTATGCATGTGGATGTTACACCATGACCATCCCGTCATGCTGTAGTATGCATGTGGGTGTTACTGTCCCTCATTCCCTCGCACATTACAAAAGCTAAGACAAGCATAAAAAGCATTTTAAGCAATAAACATTTGGTATTTACAGGACAAAGATTGAAATTGCAAACTATGGGCATTGAAACAACAAGGCATTTTCAGGATTCTAAGGCATGGAAACTGTAAGATGAGAGTAATAATGTTTGCCTCCTCCGCTTGGTGCTGGGATTACAGTAACTAATGTTTAGATAAGGAGCACTCTCAACACAAGAGCCAAGGACTCAGTGCTGACCAAAAGGCTACAGGTTCAAACCTCTTCAGCTGCGCTGCAGGAGAAAAAAATCTGGTCACATTTGCTCCAAGATTAAACCAAAACCAAACCCTCTGTCAATAAGCAGATGCTGACTCATAGTGACCCTGGAGAAGAGGAGATGGCCTCAGAGGGTGTCCAAGGACGTAAATCTTTATGAAAGCATACTGCCTCATCCTTTTCCTGTGAAGCAGCTAGTGGGTCTGGGCTGTGTGTGCAAGCAGATGTGGCCGCCCAGGCCCCCCGGCCACAGGAGGAAGGGGGAGGAAGCTGGGCTGGGCTGCAGCGCCCCCACCTGTGTGCAGGCGGATGTGCACTTTGAGGCTCCCTGAGGTGGAGAAGCTCTTCATGCAGCATTGGCACTGGAAGGCCTTGATTCCCGTGTGCGTCTTGATGTGTGCCGTCAGCGTGCTCTTCACAGCGAAGGCCCGGAAGCACTGCGGGCACTTGAAGGGTTTCTCATGCGTGTGGATACGGATGTGACGTACCAGGTCACTGGGCTTCTTAAACTCCTTCGTGCAGTAAGGGCACACATGCCACCTGACTCCGTTCTCCTCACGAATGGATCCTGGGGTAAAGGGCGGAACCAGGACAGAATGAATTAAACTCTGCTTCAAAGACAAGAAATGATCGTGCGCCTGGATGCTAAGGCTCCCCGCTGCTCTCCGTGGGAAGGCCGGGGCATCATCAGGCTGCACAGAGGACGGGCAATTATGGGAGAGCTGGTAGACATTTCCTCCCCGGAATTACACAAGACCGTGATTTAATCTCACAGAAAGTCCTAAGTAGCCACGGGGAGACAGGAGCACTGCCTGTCAGGCAGGAACACGCACATTCCACACGTGAGCAGAAATGGATGCAGCAGGGACTCCATGACCTCCCAGGACACCACTGGAAGGGCGGGTGTTCGAGCCGTCCCATGGCACAGACAGAAAACAGGTCAGACATGTGTGTGTGATCACGAAGGGGTAAGCTCTAATGCTAGGAAAATGGCATCTGAGTTCAGATGGGGAGCTATTCTGGAAGATGCTATTGAGTTCCTGAACCAATATAGTAGTTTCGCTCTCACCCAGGTGTAAAACCATATCTAACAGCAGAAAACATCTCAATTACGTTTATGGAAAAATAGTTACAAAATGGGTCCTAAGACAGAAAATTCAAAATAATAAAACAGTGGCACAATCACTTTGAATCTTGAACATTTGTTATCAGAATTACATTCACGTAATTCAAGTAAAGAATTCAGATGAACACAAAAGAATTTTGGCCAAGTTGATGAATTTCACCTGAGAATGTTATCCCTTTCACTATCTGCACACACGTAGGAGCCCAGGTGGGGTTAAGCACGGGACTGCTAACTGAAAGATCAGCAGCTGGAACCCAGCAGCCACTCCACGCGAGAAAAACGAGGCAGTCGGCATCCCTAGAGATGTCCAGCCTCAGAGACCCCATAGAGCTGCCCTACTCGGTCTACTCTAGGGGTGCTATTCATCGGAATCCACTCAGCGGCAGTTGGGTTTCTTCTTTTTGTTAACAGTGGATGCAGGGATTCATCCCCTGTGCCTTGTGTCTCTGGGAGAAAATGCCCTTTCCTGACCGACCACCTGCTGCTAACGGGACTCACACAAGGAAAGAGGCTGTGGGAAAGCTCATGACATCAACCCAAACAAGGCCCGGGGCAGATGGTAGAAAAGACCATCAATTACTCACACGCAAATTCAGGCTGAAGCTCAAGTAAGTTACAACAAGTCAGCCTGAGCCCAAAATATGACATTGAACGTATCCCACCTGAATTCAGAGATTGTCTGAAAAACAGATTTCATGCATTAGACACTAAAGACTGAAGACCAGAAGAGTTGTGGGATGACGTCAAGAACATCATACAGGAAGAAAGCAAAAGGTCGTTAAGAAGACAAGAAAGAAGGAAAAGACCTAAATGGATGTCAGAAGAGACTCTGAAACTTGCTCTCCAGCATAGAGACACAAAAATAAATGAAAGAAACGAGGAGGTAAAAGAGCTGAAAAGAAAATTCGGAAGGTCAGCTTGAGAAGAAAAAGCCGGACATTATAACATAATGTGCAAAGACCTAGAATTAGAAAACCAAAAGGGAAGACCACACTCAGCATTTCTCAAGCTGAGGAAACTGGAGAAAAAAATTCAAGCTTCAACTTGAAATATTGAAGGATTCTCTGGGCAAATTATCGAATGATCAGAAAGCATCAAGAGAAGATGGAAGGACTACACAGAGTCACTGTACTAAAAGGAAATGGTCGATGTTCAACCATTTCAAGAGGTAGCAGGTGATCAAGAGCCAATGATACAGAAGGAAGAAGTTCAGGGTGCACTGAAGCTATTGGCAAAGAACAAGGCTCTGGAAACTGAAGAAACACTAATTGAACTCTTTCAACAAACTGATGCGGCACTGGAGGCATTCACTCGTCTATAACAAGGAATTTGGAAGACAACAACCTGGCCGACTGACTGGAAGAGATCCATGTTTGTGCCCATTCCAAAGAGAGGTGAGCCAATGGAATGCGAAAATCATCAGACAATATCATCAATGTCACATGCATGTATAATTTTGCTAAAGATAACACAAAAATGGCTGCAACTACACGTTGACAGAGAACTTCAAGACGTTCTAGCCAGAATCAGCAGAGGCCATGGAACCAGGAATATCATTGCTGATGTCAGACGGATCTTGGCTGAAAGCAGAGAATACCAGAAAGATGTTTACCTGTGATTTGTTGACTAGGGAACGTCTTTTGATTGTGTGGGCAATGACAAGCTATGGACAGCAGTGTGGAGAATGAGTATTCCAGAACCCTTAATTTTGCTCCTAAGGAACCTGTACGTAGACCAAGAGATAGTTATTCTGTAAAGAACAAGAGAGCACCAAATGGTTTAAAATTAGGAAAGGTGTGCACCAGGGTTGTATTCTTTCACCACACTTAAGTCAATCCGTATACTGCGTAAGTCATCTGAGAAGCTAGATCATATGAAAAAAAATGTGGCATCAGGATTGGACGAAGACTCATTAGCAACCTGCAATATGCAGATGAGACAACCTTGACTGCTGAAAGCCAAGAGGACTTAAAATACTTACTGATGAAGAACAAAGTCCACAGCCTTCAGTATGGGTTGCACACCTCCATGTAAAGACAACAAAAATCCTCACCACTGGACCCATAAACAACATTCAAAGAAGTGGAGAAAAGATTGAAGTTGTCCAAGACTTCATTTTGCTCGGATCAACCATTAACCATCATGGAAGCAACAGTCAGGAAATCAAACAACATATTGCATCAGGCGACTCTGCTGCATACGACCTCTTTAAGGTGTCCAAGAGCAAAGATATCAGTTTAAGGACTAAGGCGTACTTGGTATTTTCAGTAACCTCCTATGCATGTGAAAATCGAATAGTGACTAAGAAAAACCGTTGAAGAACTGGTGCATTTGAGTGATGGTGTTGGAGGAGAATATTGACAGTGCCATGGACTGCCAAAAGAACCAATCTGTGTTGGAAGAACAATGAAAGTGCTGCTTGGAGGCCACGATGGCCAGACTTCATTTCTCATACTTCAGACATATTATCAGGCGGGACCAGTCCCTGGAGACGGACATCACGCTAGGTAAAGTAGAAGGTCGGAGAAAACGAGGAAGACTCCTGATGAGATGGACTGGCACAATGGCCTCAACAATGGACTCAACATAGTAACAACTGTGAGGCTGGCATAGGACTGGGCAGTGTTTCGTTCTGTTATGCATAGGGTCACTATGAATGGGTATCGACTCGATGGCCCCTAACAACTAACTTGTACTAAAGAAGTCCAAAATTTAAGACTGCTTAAAACTAATACACAGAAATTACTGAAAACTGTGCAAAAATTACCTGAGCGTCTTCCCAGATCAATCAACAAAGTTAAACAGAAAAAGGGAAGACAGAACTAGAAGGGCGTCTTCATGACAATCAGGAAGCCATGCCTGGCATCAGACTGCTTCCAAACAACACGGAAAATGTCTTTAATTACATGAGATGACATAACATAGGACAGCCAGCTGGTTCTAAGAGTTTCTGGTAACAGACCGGAACAGACATGACAAATGGCAGTCCCAGTACTATGTCCCTAAAGCTGCCCCATGTGCCGCTTGGCCCCAGCATTCCGAAAAGAAAACCAGACCCACGTTCTGGCTTCTCTGACAAAGTGAAAGATTTCCGTCTGTGCACACACATGCACACTTACACACATGCATGTGCAGATCTGGCAAACATGGACCACAAGTTCCCTCCGTGGGCAGTAGCTTTCCTCATCTAGCATATTAATTAGGCAAGAAAACACACATAATCACCCATCAATGAAAAGGCCCGGGCTAAAATCTAACATCTACTCTTACCTTTTAAAAGTCTAAGACAGAACGAGGTGGAGAAAACATCAACAGAACACACAACTTTATAGGGAAACTGTAAAAGGGTCCCTAAGAAAGCCATGGGGATTATCCATTGGAATCACCAGTTATAAACTCAACAAGGTAAAGACCGAAAGCCTAAAGGAGCAAGGAGATGGTAACAGTAACATTACTTCCAAATGACGGGATTCTAGATCTCAGGAACCCAAAGAGAGCTCAGAGAGCTACCTGGATTTTACTATGAAAAAATATCAACACCCTTCCAGAAGAAAAAGTTAAATTACTGAAATGCTCACAGAAAGAAAAAATGTGAATAAACGTAAATACATAACTTATTCTTTGGTATAAAGACTAAAAATTTCATAGACATCAGTTTTCCCTAGATTAGTTCATCACTTACTACCAATACCAAATAGCAGAAGATTCTGAAATTGCTATGATAAAACTGGTTATGTAAAATAGTGAAGAGGACACCTTGTAAAACTACAAACTCTCCAACAGGAGGTGTTAGGACAACTAACTTCTCCATATGCAAGACAAGAAACGTGATCCTGTACCTCACACCACAACCAGAGAGTAAATCACGTTATCATCGTCCGACGTAGAAAAGCTGGAATCCTTAGAAGAAAACAAGAGACAAATGGCGACACTTGGGTTTTGCTAATGGATTCTTAGCTAGGACACCAAAGCATGAGCAGCAAAGGAAAAAACAGATAAGCTGGACCGTCCTCAAAATTAAAGAGTTTCTGCATCACACAGCTTTCTCAAGAAAGTGAAAAGCCCACTGCTCAGCAAGTAAGGGCAGTGACTGGAGTCCAGCAGCCTCTCCTGTGGACAAGACGGGGGGCGCTCTGCTCGTGTAACGGATTTCTGCAGGGTCCTAATGCAATGGAATCGACTAGAGGGCAGAAACTTTGGTTTGTTTTGCTTTCCACTGGAGAGGCAGAACAAGGGAAGAATAAGAGGAGACCTTGAGGCCAGAACCACAATGCTGAGGCCACAAGGCGCACAGGAGAGAGCACATCGGAGGGAGAGCCATGGGCAGAGGTGACAAAGGTGCCACACTTACCAGCAAGACAACATGTGTTCCTAAAAACTCTCGGAATAGATGCCCTGGCCCTAAAGGAACACTCACACCTACCAAGAAGACATTCGTAAGGAAGCACTTCTGCCCAAACACAGCACCTATGTGACGGATGCAGTGTGTACTTATCCACATCAGTCACCCAGTGCTGAGGACCTGTGAGATTACAGTGAGGGAGAAGGGGTCTAGAAAGACGGGCAGCCTATGGCAAGCGTGGAGCTCAGAGACCATGGGAGGGGTATAGGAAGAGGCAAGGCCGCCAGCTTTCCTAGGACATTGGTTTCTGTCCCAGAGAGATGGGGGTGGCAGGGTGGGATGTAGGACGGGGACCTAACCAGGGTTGTTTGCACTCAGGGGGAGAAAAGGGGTAAGCAGTTGGCTGCTAACTATAAAAGGTTGGCAGGACGCCACGGAAGGAGGGCTGGCCTTCTGGGGGGTGAAAGCACGGTCCATTCAGGGCCCACCAAGAGGAAGAAAGGCTAGGAGGTGTGTCTCCATCGTGGTCACAATGTGGGGAGGAGGGCCCGAGGCAGGGAAAGACTGAAGGCCCGTAGTGCACTGACTGCAGACCAGGGATGGGGTCTGGGGAAGAGAGTGCGGGAGAGATTCGGGTCCCACTCAGGAGCCAGGAGCAGACACCTGGGGAATTAACCATATGATGGTCATCAACCCCAAACAACAGCACGCTACCCTCAAAATAATTCCAAGACCAGCGGATCCTATCAACTTGTCCGAGACAACGCATGCACACTCAGACACAGATGCTAACACGTGTCACAATTACCAGGTAAGAAAGGTGGTCTCTTCTTGGCAGCCTTCTTTTCTCTTTTCTCCAGCTTCTCGGGGGTCTCAGGATCTTTCTCTCGCTCCGCTTCCATCGGCTCAGCTGGCTCGCCAGGAGCAGTGACGAGGTGCGGACATTGGATCTGGGTGGCGGGCGTCTTGGTGTGGCTGGGGTCGTTAGGTTGAGCTGCAACTGGAATTGAAGACAGCCCACTGTTTTCTAAGGCTTGCTGAGACAGAACAAAACTACAAGGTTAGAAGGTCCGAGGGCCCACGTTTGCCTACCACAACCAACCACACAGACTAACAAAGCTTTCGTTACAGGGGTCTAGTCCTGCTCTCCTTGAAATCTGAATGCAAGTGGCTGAGTGGGGTGCCCACCTTTCTGAAACTGACATCTCACCCCACCCAAAACACCGCATGCCAAAGAAAAGAAACAGACGTGACTTTTAGAAATCGTACCTCAGACAATTGGGGTTGAGGCTAAAACCTGGCCGTGGCTTTTTGAGAGCTTGGGATCAAGACCCTGGGAATGCCCTGACACCCTGACACTCAAGACCCCCAGCCAACTTCTCGCCACAGAGGTGAGGAGAGAAGCTATATTTTTAAAAACAACCACAAGAAAACAGAAGAGCCAGGAGGAAAGCTCTCTGTTGGGAGCCAGCGAACGGGCGTCAACAGAAAGCCAGGCCAAGTCCCAAGGACTGCTTGCCCTCTGCTGGGTCCACACTGGCAGGACAGAGCCTGGATTCCCTGTCATTACTATAAGGAGCCCAGGTGGCACTGTGGGTTAGGCACTGGGCTGTGAACTACAAGGTTGGGGGTTCAAGCCCACAAGCAGCTCCAAGAAAGAGGAAGCTTTCTGCTCCCGCAGAAACATACAGCCTCGGAAACCCGGCCCAGGGTTGCTTAGAATCAAACATGACCCAGTGGTACTGGGCTTTGTTTTTTTCTCATAAATGTAAAACAAACAATTGTCCCAACAGAGTTACACCAGAACTTGAAGAAAGGATCACGTATTTCTCACACCTCTGTATCTATACACATAAAACTCTAGAAAAGCTATTGTCCTTTCCAATTAAATTCACTGACGGAGAAATTCATTGTGGTTCTACAATTGCCTTTAAATGATCGATTCATACCAGTTTAGAATCCTGCACTGTCCGTACATGATCAAATCAATGTATTTACCTCAGGCCTGATTCTGGTTACACGTGTGTGTGTGTGTGTGTGTGTGTATGTGTGTGTCAGCACAGACGGTGGGTTTCTGAGAGGAGCAGGCACGTGCCAGCTGGCAGGGGCAGGTGACAGGCCTCACCTGCAGGATATCCTGGTTGATGCCCACTGTGATGCTCAGCTGCTGGCCCGGCTGGGCTGGTGGGCTAGCCTCCGCGGGCCCTGGCTCTGAGAGCTCCAGAAGCTGCTGGATGACATCCGTGACGGCTTGGGAGCCCTGCTGGCCGCACGAGGCTGGGACCTGGCCTTCTGTCTGCTGGAGAGGTAAAGTCTGAAAGAGTGTGGCCTGGAACACAGCGACATTCCATCACAAAGACGAACACACGTTAGTCCGACTCCACTGCCCCTCTAAGAGTCAGGCAGTGCCCTCCGTACGAACGCTGCCCCAAACACACATGTGAACTGCCATATGACTGCCATCCAGTAGGCCCAACTCCTGGCGACCCTGTCTAGGGTTAGCCAGGCTATAAGTCCTTATGGGAGCAGACAGCTTCATCTGTCTCCTGTGGAGTGGCTGCTGGGTTTGAACTGCTGACCCTACAGCGTCACCAGCATTCCTTGAAGAGCACACGACTGACTGATAAAGAGCTTTTAATTACACTTCACTAAAGCCTTTCAACAGTTAGCGGAGCCTGTCAACTAAGACGGCAGGTGCTGGACACGGCTCCCCGCTTTCTGCTGGCTCAGCTATATGAAGGGATTGAATAAAGCAGCGCCGAAGCTCAGAGTCAAGACAAGGAGGAGAGAGGCCACTGTGGGCACCAGTCCACAAGGAGAAAGGCTCTGCAGAGCTGCAAACACTGAGGGCGCACTGACTGGGGCTTTCGGCTGCTAGCCACAAGGTCGGCAGTGTGAAGCCAGCAGCCTCTCCTTGGGGAAAGTGGAGACAGCCTACTTCTGAGAAGCCCTACAGCCTTGGAAGCCCTCGGGGGCACCTCACCATGAGGCGGAATCCATTCAACCTTAGCAGGGGAGCGACAGCCAAGAAAATCCAAGGTCGCCTAACAGCACATTTGGAAAATCTGACCCTATAGCAGCTCAAGAGTCAGAAGAGCCAAAAGATGATGGGACATGCAGGGACTAGAAACAATTCCATCCTCCTCCACACGGAGCACAGCGCCCCACGGCTCTCTGTTTCAGGCCAAACACAAAAGTGGCCTCAGTCCCAGGGTAAGGGGAGCAAAGAGCCTGGGGACCCAGGGACCAGAAGAGACAGCACCCGGGCTCTGTCACATGGGCTTCCCTGCACCCATCCTCACAATGTTTACTGTGACCCCAGAAATGCAATGCTTAAAACTGGGGGGCAGGTGACCCAAGGGGCAGAAGAGAACTCCTGGAGAGAAAACAGCTAACCAGCATCCACAGAGGTTCCCGACAAGGGCCAGGCCTGAGGATACCTGCCTCACCATGAGTTACAGCCCTGACCTGGACGACCACCCACTACCTCCGCACATCTGACTTGCCCATGCTAAAAGCAAGGGCGTACATTCTCATACTTGGTCATAATTTACAAATGGAAAATTGTATTAAAGGAAACAGTACTCAGTTCAAAACAGAATTTTCAATGCCTAATTAAATGAGTTCTATGACAAAAGCCCACATGAAATTTTTTTATGAGAAAAGCCCACATGAAAATTTGGCACGCAAAAAAAACCATCCACTGTCATAAATGCCCACAGGGAAAACCGCTGACATCGATAAAGTGGCACATTCTGGCCTTCCCAACAGTATAGAGCGAAAACACCGACGAAAGCGGGGCACTGCGCCCTGCTGGCCAGCAGCCCAGGCCTTTAAGCATGGACAGCAGCCATGGGGCAAAGCACTTCCTCACAAGTTGGTCAGCTCCAGTCAACGAAATGGTTGGGTGGGTATGTTTCCCTTTTGTTTTCATTGCTTTTCCTTTTAAATGTACTTTATTAGATTTTTTTAAAAAGGAGCTCTGGTA